CTTCGGTGCTTCATTTTAACCAATATATCTTCTTTTTTGAATTCTTTTTTATTCCAATGTCATCTTTCAGGTTCACCTGAAATCCATGCCCCCTCAAAGATATACTTCTGAGTAATTTGCAATGAGTGTGAAAAAAAGGGATGTTACTGTTACCCATTCTTTAACAGTCTCATTACTTTTTGTTTGGTTGGTTTTGTTGTTGTTGTTGTTTGTTCCTTTGCTTGTTGCTTTCAGGTTTACCTTGAGAGTGGTCCATAACAAAAGATCTCAGAAGAGATCTTAAGGAAACATTTTGACTTGACATTAAAAAATTTAACAGTGCAGCAAGTACAATAGCTAATAGCCACATAAAGACATCTTAGGAAATATTTTACACAAATGGCACAGTGAAAGCAGTTTCTAAGAAATCTCAGTTTTATTTGGCAATGTAGCAGTTGTAGGTCAATTCTTGGATTTTTATTTTAAAGCAGCAGTTCAGTGCTGGTGAAAGGAGTCAGCCTGAGAGACATAGTGACTTCAGCCTGCAGCCCTCTGGATCAAATAAATACCTTACAGAAAACACTGACAGGTTTGCATTCGTCTGGCTGTTCTTCCAGATCCCTCTGTGGGGGGCATACATGGACTGATAAATTAATTATTGCTTTCATGCCCTTCCCCTCCTGGTCTTCTGACCCCAGACCTCTATGCAGAAAGAAAAATATTTTGTGTCTGCAGCCATTGGTCACTAAGCATGTTACTGCAACCATCTTTTCACTTAATATGACTGACTCACTGAATAGCCATTGGTTGGTAGCAACTTCTGGTAACTATGGGCCTCAATTGGATCTCATCCAGTCTCTCACAGACCGATTCAACACTGAGAGACAGAGAAATCTTTCCATCGACTTTAAAAAGCACGAGTTTGGGCTGTCTCCATAGGCTTCACGTTCTGTCACAATATTCTAAGCCATTTAACTGTTACATGTAAGTTTTAAAGTTTATCTATCATTTTGCCACATCTGAAGCTGAAGACTTCCTCTAAAAATGCCCGAAAATTGTATTTTAATTTTATCTTAATGCATAAGTATTTCACTCCAGTGTACTGCTGAAGGCAGTTGCACCCCAGACATACCAGATGGTTTTAGCAGAATTTCATTAGTGTGGGTCAAAGATGACACCTCAAGGACTAGTGAATGATGGCATACCAGTGTGCTGGGGTTACAGTTGTGCTGGGTCTTTAAAGGAAGATTTAACACCACCTTTAACAGAGTCCCTTACAGTTTCGGATTTCTAAATGCTTCATAAGATTTCAGAAACAAGGAACCAGGCTTAACAGAGACCCAGTGAAAGGCACGATAGTATTAGCACTAGTTCTCTTGCTGGGCTCAAGGGAAAATTTTGCTTAGCAAGTTTCACCCATTTCTCTGTTTGGGTTGGTGGAATGGGCAGTGGGAAACTGCATCAGCTGATCTCAAAATGAGGACTGCCCGCCTGGATTCAGTTTCTCTTCTACCGCTTGTTTACTTCCTTTTCTCACTTTTCTCACAGGGGGCCGGTAGGGGGGAGTCTCTGTGAGAAGAGTCCAGAAGCTGCCCCATGTGAAATAAAAGCCAGTTTCAGCCAGCTCCAAAAGGGACCTGCTGCTTGCCAGAGCTGAGCCAATGAGCGATGTTCTGTAAGAGCATGTTTAAGAAAGGGAAAATACTGCTGTGCAACAGCAGCTGTGAGAGAGGACTGAGATAATGTGAGAGAACCAGCTCTGTAGACCCCAAGACCAGTGCAGAAGGAGGGCAGAAGGCACCGGAGCTGAAGCTCCCCTGCAGCCTGTGGAGAGGCCCGTGATGGAGCAGGCTGTCCCCCTGCAGCCCATGGGTCCCACATGGAGCAGATCTCCACGCTGCAGCCCATGGAGGAGCCCCCGGTGGAGCAGGTGGATGTGACCTGGAGGAGGCTGTGGCCCATGAAGAGCCCCCGCAGGAGAAAGCTCCGGGCCGGAGCTGCAGCCTGTGGAGAGGAGCCCACACAGGAGCAGGGGGTCTGGGGGGAGCTGCCACCTGCTGGGGATCTGTGCTGGATCAGTCCACTCCAGAAGGACTGACCCCATGGTGTCATTGCAATTACAGAAACGTAGTAGGATAGACTGTATGTCCAGAATGCTCTCATGGATGGCTACAGGCCAAGAAGACAAGGTGGTGGAGTTGTTCTTTATGTGAAAGAGGAACTGGAATGTATAGAGCTCTGCCTCAGGGTGGATGATAAGTGAACTGAGAGCTTATAAAAGGGCTGGCTAACATGAGTGACACTGTTGCGGGTCAGGCCACCTGAGCAGGAAGAGGAGTTGCCAAGATCTGTAGACATCTAGAAGGAGCCACGTGATAACAGGCCCTGGTTCTCATGGGGGACTTTCTCCACCCTGATATCTGCTGGAAAGAAAACACTGCTAGTCACAAACAGTCCAGGAGGTTTCTTCAGAGCACTGACAACAACTTTTTGACATGTAGTGGATAAGTCAATGAGGAGAGTTGTGCTGATGGACCTTGTGCGAACAAACAAACTAGGACTGGTTGGAGACAGGTTGATGGAAGCCTTGGCTGCAATGACTATGAGATAGTGGAGTTCAGGATCCTGAGTGGAGAAAGCAGGGCAATAAACAGGATTACAACTCTGGACTTCAGGAGAGCAAACATAGGCCTCTTTGGGGACCTACTTGGAGAAATCCAAGTTAGGGACCTAGACGGAAGAGGTGTCCAAGAGGGGTCAGTATTTAAGCATCACTTCCTCTACTCTCAAGATCCCTATGAGTAAGAAGTCAAGCAAAAAAAGGGTAGGAGACCTGTATGGATGGCAAGGAGCCCCTGGCAAAACTCAGACACAAGAAGGAAGTATGTGGAATGTGGAAAAAGGGACAGGCCACTTGGGAGGAATGTAGGAATGTTATCAGAGTGTACAGGGATGTCAAGAACAACAAGGACTTCCTCAAATACGTCAGTAGCAAGAGGAAGATGAGGTAAAATGTGGGCCTACTGCTGAATGAGGTGGGTGCCCTTGTGATGAAGGATACAGAGAAGGTAGATTTATAGAATGCTTGCTTCAGTCTTTACTGCCACTCTCAGTAATCCCAAACCCTTGAGATGAGAGAGAAAGTCTAGAGAAAGGAAGACTTTCCTTGGTTGAGGAGAATGAGTTTATAGATAATTTAAGCAAACATGATACTTACAAATCCATGCACCTGGATGGGATGCACCCATGAGTACTGAGAGAGATGGTGGACCTTACTGCTAAGCCACTCTCCATCATCTTTGAAAGGTCATGGAGAACAGGAGGGGTGTGTGAGGACTGGAAGAAAGACAATGTCACTCCATCTTCAAAAAATTCAAGAGGAAGGACCCAGACAGTCTCACCTCCATCCCTGGAAAGGTGATGGAACAGCTCTTCCTGGAGGTCATCTCTAAGCATGTGGAGGAGAAGAAGGTGATGAGGAATAGTCAGCATGGATTCACCAAGGGAAAATCATGCTTAACCAATCTGATAACCTTATGTGATGAATGACTGGCTCAGTAGATGAGGTGAGAGCAGTGGATGTTGTATTCCTTGAGCAAGGCTTTTGACACTGTCTCCCACAACATCCTCAGAAATAAGCTCAGAAGTGCGGGATGTGTGGACAGCGAGGTGGACTGAGAACTGTCTGGATGGCAGAGCTTAGAGGCCTGTGAGCAGTGGTGCAGTCTAGTTGGAGATCTGTAGCTAGTGCTTTCCCCCAGGGGTCAGTGTTGGGTCCAGTCCTGTTCAACTCACTCATCAATGACTTGGATGAAGGAACAGAGTGCACCCCAGCAAGTTTGCCGATAACACAAAACAAGGAGAAATGACTGATACACCACAAGAATGCACTGCCATTCAGAGAGACCTGGACATGCCGGAGAGTTGGATGGAAAGGAACCTCATGAAGTTCAGCAAAGGCAAATGAAGGGTCCTGCACCTTGGGAGGAATAACCCCAAGCACCATTACAGGTTGAGGGCTGATCTGCTGGAAAGCAGCTGTGTGGAGAAGGACCTCAGAGTCCTGTTGGACATCAGGTTAACCACAAGCCAGCAATGTGCCCTTGTGGCCAAGAAGGCCAATGATATCCTGGGGTGCATTAGGAAAAGTGTTGCCAGCAGGTGGAGCAAGGTGATCCACCCCCTCTACTCAGCCTTGGTGAGGCCACACCTGGAATATTGTGTCCAGTTCTGGGCTTACCAGCACAAGACATGGAGCTCCTGAATAGAGTACAGTGGAGGGCTACAGAGTTAATTAGCAGACTGGAGCATCTCTCTTATTAGGAAAGGCTGAGGGAGCTGTGACACCTCATGGTATTTGCAAATAAAAATGCTATGCTGTGTCTGAAATTCCGTCCACCTTTTCTCCAAAGTTTTGAAATATTTGGTGCACTGTATGTGAAGGCTGAGTCTTTTCTCAAAGCCAGATTTGTCCACCACATTTCAGGCATCCTCATAAGCTTTTGGCACTCTCTGGAGGAGGAAAGTCTGAATGCTTTCTTCTCCTCAAGATGTCTTGTAACTCTTTTATGTAAGGCAGATAACATGGGGATAAGGTGAAAGAACACAACCCATACCATTTACATATCTTGGGATCAGCTTGCTTAACTGCAGAGTAGACACCTGGGGAGTCCTCATTACAACCAGTTGTCTGGATAGAAAGTTACTCAGCCTGGCCTGCTTAACCTTCCTTCTCACTTCACAATACAGCTATAACATCAGTCATCCCTCCGCTTCACTACGGCAGCTGGGAAAACTCGGCAACTAACATATTTCTAGAATACATTGTTTCAGAGCTGCATTTTTCTTTGAGAATGAGGGATAGATGAAGTTATCCTCTTCACCTCTTTTGCCTGGCCTTTGCCAGCTCTGCCACCTCAACTTTTAGTGGAAACTCTCCACTGAAGAGTTTTTTTCATGAGCTCATGCTGTGAAATAACCAGGAAGGCCTATGCAGAAAAACACCTTTGCAAGACTAGTCCTGAGAGATTTTCCCCCTCTCCCTTCTCCTTTTTTCTACATATTCTCCTACTAAAGATCTAAACCTTAGGAAGAAAGATCTTTTCAAGTCACTATGTAAAAGCTTGGATTTTTAGTTACTTGAACAAGTGCCTGTTTAAATGGTCCTTTTCCAGCCCTGTGGCAAGAATGCTGAATTTATAATCAGTAACTTTGTCAAACTCAGTCTGGGCTGTATTAGTGTCTAAGAAAGCAAAACAAAGAAAACCCCCAAACCCAGCAAGTTTGAGTGGCAAACAGAAGGCATAAAATTAAGAAAGAATCTCTATGGACTGTTTCCTCTCCACAGAAAATCCTGATCTTGGAGACATTTTGACAAGCCAAATGCTGGGGTTGTATGATTATAGATGCTGCTGTCAGTGGATTTATTTTGTGGCTCTCTTCAGAGATTATCTCCAGTTCTGCGGTTTTATATTCTGATGCACGGCCTGTTTTGTATTTCGATTGCGTATGTGTTGGAGATATTCATTAAGCTTTCAGAAGGATATTCCATAGCTGTAAGCCTTTTAAATCACATACAATGTGTTTCTTATTTCCCTATGGCATTCTACTTGCATCTGCTTGGTATGTAGAACGTCCTGGCCAGCCACATTTCAGTGGACCATTTGTCTCCCAGTGATGGAGCACGTGGCTGATAATACAGGGACATGAAAGCATTCATGGTGCTTTTCTTTTGAAAGCACGTGTCTAGTGTTCAACACAGTCAATACTTTTAGGGACGAAAACAAGACAGAACTGTCCTCTGTACCCAAGAAGAAGGAGAAATATTGGAGTATTTGTGCTGGTGAAAACTTCACATTTAAGGTTCATAGAAAAATAAATTTGAAGTTTCTCTTCCTAAGGTAATGATGAGGGTTTACACAGAATGTTGATTATGTTTGCTAGTTTATTTGCTAGGGAAAATCCTGGATCTGTCTCAGTGACTACAGAATCAGTGCATTCCTGTTTCACAGTGAATTGGTTTACTGAGGGCTGTAGCAGGCAAGCAGAGTTAAGTCTGAGGAGAAAAATGCTGCAGGAATGTCTGAGAGAGAAATCCCCTTGCTCTTCCTCTTTCCCTTTCTGCACTCATCACAAATGAGCAAGGAGGAAAGCCTAAGACAGAGACTGGGATTCTTTAAATTCCTAAAGCACCATACATAAATGTCCTTGACTCTCCCAGGTGTTTTCCTACAGTTCACTAAGCATCTGAATCTACTGCTGGAGGGATGCACTGCACCCATTCCATGACCAGAGTGAATGCACTGAAACCTAGTTAAGTTCTATTAGCCTCCACAGGAGCTCTCCATCTAGTTCAGCTGTAAAGTTGAGTCTGATCATTGTTTTCAAAGCACTCTTCCTAGGTAAGGCTCCATACAGACAAGCCAGAAAAGGAATTTCTTTCCTTAGCTCATGCTGGGCACATGAAATGGTCAAGAGCCAGGTTCAGATCTCTCTTCAACCCAGGCAGGTGTGTATTCATATCTCCAAAGCAGATGGTAAATACTCGAGTCAACATCTCTGGAAGAGAAAACTATGAAAGCCTCCTTTCAACGTATAGCTCCATGGTAGGATGTTCGGCTAAAAGATGGAAATCACAGCAACACAGAGGTGGGACTGAATGCAGGCTGTTTCTCTTGTAGTATGTACCTTGCAAGCAAGAGCTTTCTTGGCTCAAATGCAAGTCTCCAGAAGAGAGCTCATTGGTGGGAAGCACTAGCAGGGATGGGTACTCTCCTATAGGGTTCTTACATTACACCATCTCCCATTTATTGGTGACTACCTAGATGTCTCCCAAGTTTTTTGGGGATGCCACGTTTCAGTATGCCTGACTCTCCACATGTGCTATTTTCTGGGTGCCTTGCTTGATCATGGACTCTACATTCCTTTGAACGCTTTGGATGCCTACAAGCTATGAATCCTTTTATGGATCTAGCATGGAAAGCTTACTTATGGGACTGTGCAGACCTCCTAGAAGAACTCTATACTGTTATCATGACAGCTATTCTTGAATTCCTTTTCCAACAGTTTTCATTTATATGTAAAAGAGACATTTGACATATATTCTGCTGCTTCCAAAACAAAGATATTTACTGAGATAGAGTCTCAGCTATGTTAAGACATAATACTTCATAAAAAGTAGTGAATGACAATTCATATTCACTGATGAACTATGGTTTTAGACTTTCTTCTGCTTATCAGTGTTATTCAAATATAAGAAATTCCCAGTATAATACTATTTAATGGGGAAAACTACAGTGTTTTAGTGACTCAGAATCTTAACAAGACATGACTGTACCCATTTTGTTTCCCCACTTAAAATTTTGCACAGCGTGATGGAGCAGGAGGCGCCATCAAATGGGCTCAGTATCCCCTTTCACAAATAAAGCGTGTACAAAGTGTGTCAGCATTTCAACTGGGGCCCTTCTCCTGAAGGCCGTTAATTAGTGCAGAACGCAGACTTCAGTTCTTTTGCCAGGGTAGATGAAAATGATTTTGGAAGACAGCCCAGACAGAGGAATTTGTCATAGGTTAGAACTGTTCCAACTCTAAGAACCAAGTGTACAGCTTATGCAAATTACTTTGCTAAACACAGATTCTGTGTTAATTTTTTTAATGCTTTTTCTTTGACTACCAACAAGAACTCACTTGCCAGATCTTGTCTGAAATCAAAAAGAAGTGATTCCTTCTCTGCCCCTGAAAAAGAAAAATGTTTCTAGTCTAAAACATGTCGAGAAAGAGCTGAGATGTAAGAATAAGGCAAATATTCATAGGAAGTAGAAATGGAAAAGCCCAATGATATCACCGCTCCATCTGCCCAGCGCCATCAGACTCCTCAGTACAATGTGCTCCACAGTACATTGAAGATGAGGATGGAAGAAGCATTGAGCAGTGTCTCAGACTGCACTGAAGAAATGACAAAATTGAAAGTCAGAACATTTTCCTGATAACTGGCAGGTGCTGTCACTGTTCCCTTCAATACAACTATTCATAGTGCATAAATCTGAATTGCAGGTAGGTGTGGATTCTGTTTGAAATTATTAACACTGAATTTTGTCAACTTTTATCAAGTTATTTGGTGCTTCATAATTTACCAGAGCAACACTAGAAAAAACGCCAAAACCAGCAAGAAGGCAAAGCTTGAATCTGAATTGCCAAGTTTCAAAATTTTAGTTTTCCAGATCCAGGTACATACTTAATTTGAGATTAAATATGGCTCCAGAAGTGAAGTACCTCAGTCAACCAACAACTACTAAGCCTCATTATAGAAGTTCCTGAAAATGCCCCAGAATGGAAATTCTCTGCAGAGATTAGCATTCACTGGTATCCAAATCATCAAGAGAGACCCAATGTCATCATTTACAGTAGGAAATGTCTGTTCATTGTCTTTAGATGACACATTAAATCACGGTGACTTTGCCGCCCCTCAATGCAGAAAACATACTAGTTTAATTCTGCTTTTATGTTTCCATCACAACACCTTAAAAACTGCTTTTGAGTCCTAAGGGGAAGTAATTTCATTTTGGATTCACATGAGAACTAAATCATGATATCTCTGATAAATCTGGTGATTCAAATAGAAAATATTCCTCCACATTTAAAAGTTGTTTATATGTAGGTTTTAATGTTTGAGCCACCTATCATAAGTAGCTATGTATTAAGTATCTATTATTTTTTTACACAACGTAAAATATAGAAACATATATCTTGTAGAACACTTTCAAATTATTCAAATACCTGTATCATGATCTTTGGAAGGTAAAGCTTTTACAATTCTGTATGAATTATGCATAATCTTGTATGCATTCTTTTTCAATAAATATTTGTTATTTTCTTAAAACTATGAGTAATATGACACCTAGATGATACACATTCTTCTACTCTTACATTCCCTACAAAATTTTGAATCTAATGACTACAGTAATGTCCAAGTAATTTTAGATTCAAAATGTTAAAAAGAAAAGCTTTCTTGACCACTTTGGCTCCCTATTCACATGATTCTGTACATATTAAAACCTTGCTCTCAGGTCTACAGGAAGTGTTTGGTTAAATAATCACAAAGCTGGTATCGCCTTCCTGCACCAAATCTGGTTTGCTACACAAGATTAAGGATATGTTTCCATCTTCTGTTGTTGCTGTTTTCCAGCCCAGTCTTCTTCTGTCTTCTCCATTTAAACTCCATGGCATCCTGGGCAGATAAAATCTGTTAATACAGGATCAGGACAAAAGAGCCAAAATCTTAGTTGACTCCTTGCATGGCTACTGTAAAGCTAATCAATACTGATGTTAATCATTTTGATCTCAGCACCAGACTGTACAGCAGATTTTTTAATTGCTTTGAATTTAGCCTTCATCTCAGCAATGATTAGGAAACAGTTCCCTGTCTTTAAACACTAGGCACTTCTTGAGAAATGCTGCTGGACTATATTGGACACAGCCGGCAGACCTACCTGCATCCTGAAAGGTCAGCGTGCTCCTGCAGTGCCTACCACCCTTGCACACCAGGCTCAAAACCTGCTAGGTTTCCTGTGAGTGGAGAAGGAGGCTGAAAACAGCAGGAGAGGTTTTGAACCCTTTTTGTTTCATGCAGGAGTGAGGCAGTGACACAGCACGAGGGCAGCAGAGAGCTGGGGACTGGGAAATGCAAATCTACATCCAGCGCAGACCTATCTGGGAAACTGTTTCAGGTTGCTCATTCGCTATTTTACCTGTCTGGTTATATTTATTTATTTATTCCTGAGTCTCATCAATGGAATATAAATACATTTCACATTCTCTGACACAATCAAAAAAAGTTAGCCACGCAGATCAAACTGAACATTTGGTATGTTGATAGGTGCAAGGACTGAAATCCTAATATTACTGATCTCAGTCACAAAAATCCCACCAAATGGTGCCAATGCTTCCTTCAAAGAAAAATACAAAATTCCAAAACCAAGCACTAAGAGTTCATCAAAGAGAAAGTCTTTAGGCTTTGCAGCCTGTCTCACTAAGCAGAAGCCATGAAGTGATGATACTGGTTTGTAAAATGCCAAGATAAGAACAAAAACAAAAATATACTCTCTTTAAAAATAAATAAATAAATAAATAAAAATAAATCAGAAATATGATTGCCTCTTGGCTGTTATTAAACAATTTTATTTATTATTTATTTATTATTATTTATTTTTTATTTTCTGTATTCCACAGGATTTTTCAGAAGAGTGCTGAGTTGATTGAAAGGAAGAGACAGACCTGGCTCTGAAGCAGAGATACTGCTTTCAAAAGTAGGATTATCACCACAAGCAATATGCCATAAAAAAAAAAAAAAAAAAAAAAAAAAAAAGTCTTAAGCAAAAAAACCACCACTCGGTGGTTGAGGTTAAACCTTAGACTTGACCATAATCAGAAAATTTGTTTTTAGAATTTACAGTAGAAACAAGACTTCCAGTTATGTCCGTGATGGACACGTTTTGTCTCAATATCCTATTGGAGCAACATAACTTGCCCAATCCATTACCGCACTTAAACCATTTCAGCTGATCAAACTTACAGGCGTTACTGGGGAAGAAAACTGAGATAATGACTGATGCTAGAAATGAAAAAAAAAATAATTTAAAAAAAAAAAAAGAAGACATCATTTGCTGCCTTTTACCAAGGAAACGTGTTGGTCAGTGAATGAGCTGCATTCCGAGAAGGATCTTTGAAGTTGACACAAAGCATTTCTAGGAATTATGCATGTGTCTTTCAAGTGTGTTTCAATGCATTTCTCTCTCCCCAACCCCCAGTCCCGGCACAACCTGCCCAAATCTTTAGCTTCAGTTGGAGAGAGGGGCTGAGAACAACTGCTGATGTCCTTCCCCAGTCATGTAAGTGAAAAAAAAAATAAGGCCTGATTATATCTGTCCTTTGTACCAACACTCATGGACTGCAAAGCTGAATGCAGTCCTCCTTCTTCTGTACCAGGACTTCACAGCTGCTGTTGTCCCCTCCATCATGTACTGCAGCCCCTGGATCTACTGCACAGCATGCAAAGACACCAAATGCAACGCCCAGCCTATGACACACTTCAGCTGAACAGATAATGAGAAGGAAATAATAATTCCCAATTTTTCTTCATTCTGCAAGCAGAGAAAAGACACCAGACAGTGAGTTGCTTCCCCAGAGACATCCAGAAAGTTCCTACTAGATCCAGGAGCTGAGCCCAAAACACATAAGCCCCAGCAGGGTCTGTTGGCTGATGGAGTCATTGCTGTTTTTCCCAAAGCATCTCCCACCGCTCCAGTTCATCGGTGCTACTCCCTGTTACCACCTCCCATGGCCCCGAGCCTGGTAGACAGACAAGTCTGTGGGAGGTCAGCTGGGCAGTGGCACCACCACAGTGGCTGATACCCACTTCTGACAGTGCTTGGATATCACCCTCAGTATGGGCTGAAGGCCAGCAAGGACAGTTATCTCAGTGGGCCCTGCAGCCAGGCCGGTCCTCTGTCAGAGCAGTTTTCTGTGCAGAAAGAGCAGCCTCTAGTTCCTACACCACCTCAAAGCCCTTTGGAGACCATGTATACTTCTGTAGGTCTCAGCCTGGCCAAGCCACCTGCCACTCACCACCCCTTTGCATAGTATGATCAGACTTTCCAACTCAACCTCCATCCTGATGGCCTCTGCCATTGGCACTAAGTGCTCTTCCTTTCCCCTTTCATGGCTCCTGCACCTTCCCTGTCGTCCTCTCACCTCTCTGGGCCACCAGGTCTCCTTTTCCCTTGCTCCATAGCACCCTTTGTATAGCACACTTTGGCATTTTGGGCACCGTGATGGTTAATCTGCAAACTGATAAAACTGCTAAGACTGAGTCTTGAGCTCCTTTCCTTGCCTACCACTACAAGCTGCCCACTGCTGGGGTGAGAGCATTCCCTACTGCTCCCAGACAGCTTGCTTATCTCTGTGCCTCCACCTGTGCTCTCATTTTACAACATACAAACTATACCTTCCCCCTGCGTTACATTTTATTTTTCTGCTATTCAGCTTTCTGCCTTGTGCATATTTGAACAAGTCTGGCAGTATTTGTATCACTCTGTTGCACTTTCTATTTATGATCTATGTACAGTTTAATTCCTATTATGTCTATTTGGTTCCTATATAAAGCAAGGTTTATTGCTGGGGCTGATCCAAAACTGGAAGGAAAATGTCATCACTTTTTTTCTCCCCATCAAAATTTGAGGCTTCACATCCAGCTCTCTGTGTGGGTGAGAGTTTTGCTATTTTCAGAAACATTTTAGTCAAAACGTCCGACTCTGTTGTTCAGCAAAATCTGAAATCGTGCTGAAAGTTTTCACTAAAGCTTTGAAATCCAGCCAGCTCTTCTCTACTGCTGGAGTTCTAAAATAATGTCACTTCACGGCACTTTCCTAATAAATAGCTGCCAGTTTGGGGCAAACCATTCCATTTTCTTTAAAAGGATTGTTTGCCCTGCAGAGTCCATCTCACACAATAATAATAAGATGTCTGAAAGAAACCAGAAAGACACCCCTGCTTCCGCAGGTCCAGATTTTGAAGGGAATTTCAAGACTTGTAAATTCTGTGATAGGACAGAGCAAGGCTCTTTACAAGCACTGTGTATTCTGTTTCCTGTTGTAGCTATGCACATTTAACACAGGAAAAACACCTTGAAATGTCATCATTAACAACACTAAAAAGGTGAAACAGAACTTCTCAGGAGAATCACTGGTATGATCCCTTGGGGGTACACCACAATGGGATTGGGGTGGATTTGTTGCCTCACAGCTTTAAGCACCATGCCTTCACCTCCACTGGCCTGTGTTGCAGCTGCAACACAGCTGCAACACAGCTGCCTCTGAGCTGTACTTCCACAGCTCAGAGCTGGACGTCCCACATGGCAGGCACACAGAACTATATTACCTGTAGGTACAAGCAAGCAGCCATTGCACACTGGATCACTTTAAGAAGTGAGTGTTGCTGTGTGCCCTGTTTACAAGAGGACCAGAGAGGACCTTAAATCAGATCAGAAAAGTTCCAGATTCCAAGCAATGAGCAGCAAACTTGGAGTCCTAGTGAACCCACATTACTGTAGAAGAAATTACTGGAAGAGGCCCGACTCTGATCATGGTCTTTGTCACGCAGAGCCCTAGGCAGGCACAGCAGTGTCCCAGCTCTGCATTCTGCACATGGCTCTCATGGCAGCTGCCTGCAACAATGGGGACTCTATTCCTTCTCTCCCAGACAGAAAAACAGAAGTGTGGTGAAAACGTAAGCAATTTTGGCAAGATTAAATGCAAGCCATGTTGTGATGAACACCATAAAAAGCATTTAGGTTTCCATTCCCAGGTCTGTGCCCTATTGCCTTGAATAGATTATGCTCTGTGGCTACTGAGTTCACTGCCATCTGTATTCCTGTGTGTGTGTTCCTCACCTCTGCTACAGATATGGAAATATGCTGGAGCCCTACCTGAGTTCAGCTAACAGAGGTTTCTCAGTAAATCTGTCAGCAAGTTTCTAGCTGAATGCAAGGACAACAGGATTTCTACCACTGCTACTGTAAACCAAGTAACTCAGACAGACTCCAGTGTTGATCTGTCAGTTCATAGCAACCCTTCCCCTAGCCATGCTTTCCTCTAAATCAAAAAGCAAATTTGCTTTCACAAATCAGCAGAGGGGTCAGAGAGAAAAATTCCCATTAAGGCAGAAATTTTCAGGTTATTTTAGTTTATGTCTTCTATTCAGAAGCAATTAACAAGGAATATGTGTTATATGTCTGATCTTGGCAAATTCTGCCCCTAATCAGCAGCATGCTTTGATTAACTGCATGGGTTGCACCGCACAGTCTTTCCAGTCTCTCTTGTAACAGTTGGAAGGATAGTCTTTTCCCTTGATAATGTCTGAGTGTCAGGTTCAGGAAGCCTGTGTAGATTTGGTGACCATGCCTTCTCCTCTGACCGAGATTAGCTACCATCTGGTAATGCTTCAGAGAAGAACTTTTCCCTATTGTCACTTCCTTTGTCTGATGGTCTGTAACATCTGACCTCTGCTTCACAGGTCATGGCCTTCACCTCCCTTCTTTCCAATAGAAATAATGACAGCAGGGTTAAGTTTATATGATACCTCTGGTAAGTGCTACTTGTGAGCACTGGGCTTTTGCAGCCCTCTTCCTTTCTTTGATGCTAAAGTTTCTGTTTTGACCTTCTTGCAACATTAAATCAGTCTGCCCTATCTGCCACCAATCTGGCTCTCTGGTTTGCAGGGATCTGCACTTCTGTTTCTCTCTTCTGACTGATGGTCTGTGAAAACCCTGAGCTGAAGATGTGTACCAATTCTCTTTTCAAGAGTAATTTTTATTTTCTCTCTCTTAATCAGAGTCTTAAATTCCCTCTCTTTCAGTTATATAGCTCATAGTCCTTGTTCCATATGGAACTGATGGACTAAAGGACCACCAACAATCAATGGAAGAGAGAGTCGTGGTCCCAAAAAACTTCCTCTCTTATGTCAAACAGGACATTTTTCATTTTTGTTTATCAAAGAAATGAATTTCATGGCAAGACTCCCATCAGCTACTGTGAGAACAAGATTTTATGTCAAGTGACTTGCCTAAATTCATGACAGTAAGACAAATATGAAGCCTGAAATTCTTGACTATCTGTTCTTGCAAAAGTGCATCCCTCCTTACATAGGCCACACACTAGTGACAGTGACAAGCGTTTCTGCTGCAGGCTTCAGCGGTAGGAAGGCTCACTGTGGTCTTTCAGTGTCACTCTTGCTACTGCTGTGCAGACTGTTCCTGTCCTCATTACACAGACTGAAAAAATAGATGGAAAAGG